TTTAATAACAAATGAAAAGTTACTACATCCTATATTAAAATTTATTATTACGTGCTGTTTTGTTATTATTGAGAATTTGTAATAATTATACCCCTGCAGTCCTTAATATAAGACTTTTTTAACTAATTTAATTAGATTAATAAAATTAGATAAGTTAGTTAATTATAAAAAAAATATAAGTTGTTTTTCCTAAAACACTATAATCATCTTTTTTAATATACTTCCTCCTTCACTTACTTGATTACTCCCTCTGTCCCTTACTATAAGATCCTATTTTTTTGAATAGGTTTATCCTTTTCTATGAAATCCTTTTTGAGTTTGTCTGAACATTTAATGGACTATTACCTTTTTTATCCCTAGGTTAATGCATTTGATATATTCTTTTTATTCATTTATCTCACTATTACTCTTTCACATCTACCAATTCATATATAGGGGTATATTTTGAAAAAAAATTATATTTGCTACATATTAATTGCTTTTAACTAATTTTAACTGTTTTTCTAAACAGCGCAATTTAGTTAAAAAGATCTTATAATAAAAGACGAACTAGAATAGTTGAGGAAATATCCATAGAAGTAATTTAGAAAAAACTGATAAATATGAGAAATAGGTCTTATATTTATGATCAAAATTAATTTAATAACTAGGCCTTATATCAAGAATCGGAGGAGTATTACATGATTCTTTTACTTTTTGTTGGCAGTTTTTGAGTCTTTAACTTGATCTAGCCCTAATTTATGTAATATAAATATAGTAATTGAAGGGGCTTAATTTTTTTATAGAAATGGGAATGGGAATGGCAAAAATTTAAGTGATGACGTGTGCCTGATAGATATTCTAGGACGTGGACAGTGACCATGCTTTGCGCGTCAAACCACGTGATGGTATCAAGCAATCCCAGAGCTGAGAGCAGCTCTCCAGCTCATAAATGCCTCTCATTATTTTATTAACTCTCTCCCCGACTTATCCTACGGTTATTAATACTTATTTTTTTAATTTTCTGATTCTCACTTACAAAAAATATATAAAAATGATTTGTAAATGTAAAGTGCAGATGAAATTGAAAATTTTTATTAGTTTAATGTATTTCTTAATATACAAAAATATGTTACAAATATATATGCTTATACTATGTTTTTTTTATTAATTAAAAAAATAATAACCAAAAGATTATTAAACACAAGTTAAACAAGGGCATTATAGTAAAAAAAGTAATTATATATTTATAGTTTAATTGTAATTGAGGCACCTGCGTTTGGATTTTCAAAAATGCAATGCCATTTCTAGAAGAAAGAGACAGGTGAATAGAGGAGAGATTGGTCAAGAGGAGGATAGGGGTCATTATTGTGAAGAAATATTGCGAAGAACCAGAACATTAATTAACGGCAGGCTGGTGGCAAAAAGGAATAAGCAAAGGCACCAAAGGATGCAAAAATACTGTTGGACTGAAAGAAGTAACAATCTACGTTATGTGCTGTAATCGACATATATGTTTTGTCATTGAATTGAATTTTCAGCCTATAATTCACATAGAATCTAAGTTGAACTACATTTTCTCACTGCTTATGATTTAGTTCGGAGAATTCCAATTAAATCCAACTGAAATAGTAAAATTTAATTTTTTTTTAATCTGATCAACAGGTTTTATTAAATAATTTTTTTAAAATGTTGCTAAAAGAGGCAAGTGTAGGGCTTTTTTTTTTTTAATTTTATTTCAGCCGGATTTAATTACCAGGATTTGTTTTTTCCGTGTTGGTGGGAGTTTAGGAAATGAGGGGTGCAAACCAATGAGAAGTGGGAAAACAAAAGGCACAGCTGGTGGAACCAAGAAAGGCGGCAAGCAGCCAATAGCTAATCACATATGCGCCTCACTTACATAATGCTACCTTTTCCTTTTTTGCCAACAGATAATACCTACATGTAATTAATAATATTAATAATAATAATTAAAAAAAAATTGGGCATATTCTTTCATGGAATCTAATCTAACTCTAACCCTAATTCTAAGTTGCTTTTCTTGACTAATCAAAGCTTCAACCCCCCATTCTCTACGATTCTTCTTTCCTTCCCACTTGACTGCTTTTCTTTTTCTTTCCTCCCTTTAATTTTATTTTAATTTTTTGTATATTTTTCTTATTTGTCGATATTAATGATTATGATCAAACTAATTTGAACTGTGCGTGTCAAGTGGATTGGGGTGGGGCCCACCATGTCTCTGCGTGCCACATAACTAATGGCCTCATGTCAAACAAACAGCATGTGCGCTCGCTCTCCCACACTTACAAAATTTGCACTAAGTCCCTAGTTTCTTGGAAAATTACAAATCCCCCCGTAAGATATTTTTCTTGGTCATCGTCACGAGGACTTTGAATTTTCCACGGGGTTTAATTCTCTAGAAAATGAGTCCATCAATTTCCACTTTATTTTATTTTTTTTAGGGAAATTATAATTTTAAATATTTTTGAACTCCCATGTTTTTGAGGTCTGAATTTTCAGAAATTTGTATTCTTCTTTCTTCTTATTATGGCGAGCGAATTTTATTGGTTCAAAGTGTGACGTTGACAAGTTTCCTTCACATGGGAATATGAGGTTGCAAGTTTGGGATGCCAGTTAATCTTAATTATCTTATTAAATAGTCTAACACTTACATCAAATCTAAGACTTAATTGCTTGATACATCAATTCAACACACTCAAAAAAGGCTGTTTAGCTCAAAGTCGTTGCTTTAATTTGATGGAACTTGCATGTTAGTGCAGAGTAGCTTAATATTCATAATAATAATATATCTAACCATCTTGTGACAAATGTTGATTGGGTCAAAGGACTTATAATATTATTTAAGCAAAAAAAAAAATAATGGTTTGAATTTTGTAAATGAAAAAAAAATATAAAGAGATTGCACAAATCCATCCAATACACTATTTCCGGTTCTTCATATAAGAGTTTGTTTAATTTTTATTTTTGTTCTAAATATAAGATCTCAATCCATTTCATCTATTGTATTTATCCATTTTTTAATGTATTTATTCTAATAATAATAGTTCTAGCCATTACACTTGATTATTAAGAATATCCTAGCAAGGACAACACCTATTTATTATTAATTAATTTAATTTAATTTTTTAATTTATTCAAGTCAGTCAACTAATTCTTATATTTAGGATCAGAATTAGTATTGTATATACGCATGACAGATTGGATAAGGATGATTTTTTTTTGGGCCAATTAGGATGATTTAACTTGTAAGCGTAGGCCTCATTATGTTACTACTAAATCAGATTTGACAATACGCACTTAAATGACGAAGTGATTATATATAAAAAAATAAATTATGAGCTCATATTATATGCAGAGGTAAAGACTAAGGTGTATTGTTTTTCATACCAAAAAAAGTGTGTTATTTATGACTTATAAGATATTATTGATTTTACCGTACACAGAGTATGGAATATTTATATTAGGTTGTAATTGTATGGAATATTATTTAAATCCTTTTCAAGTCGAATGGATATCAACATGTGTATTTGCATAAAGTTTGAGATGAGTTATATTATTAAAACTTCTTATAATTGTTATTGATATACTAACATTTAATAGTACTGTCTTTCGTTCTTGATATTAAGGAAATTGTTCTTCATAATAATAAAATTGAACTGCAAATTAGATCTTATATTAGGAAATAAAGATAATATGTTTTGCACAATGACATAGCTAGCTCCATCAATGCGGTTATGTCATTAAGCAATGAACAGGCGGATTAAAGAGTTGATGTTCCCTGCGATAAATTGTAAATATATATGAGCTAGTTAATTAATGTAAAAACTAATTAAGATAATTATTTTCTATTAATATGTCTAACTTTTGCGATAGTTTTTCAATGTACCCGTTTCAATAATTCAATTTAGTATTTTGTAGTAAAAAAATTGTGCAATAAGTAGAAAAAATTTAGGTCAAATTTCTTATATTCATTAATTCAGGTTTTCCAATTACACATAGCTATGTGTCTTTTTTTTTTCATATGAGTTTATAATTAAATCATAATTTTTAAAAATAAGACATATGATCATCTATGATCGGATAATTTAACATAATGAATAAAAGAAAATTGAGATAAGTGTTCTTTATGAAATTAAATTAATTGATTAGATAGACAAATGATATTGAGATCTTGCATATAAGATCATATTAAATTTTCTAACTAATTCCTATATTTAAAATTGGATGCAATATATAATACTACATCTTATATTTAGAATCAGAGTTAGTACTACCTTTGGTTCTTAATATAAAATAATTTGTAGTTTAAATTAAACTACAAATTAAATTTTATATTAAGCACTTTAAACCACAAAATAAATCTCATATTAAACACAGAAGGTAGTAGTAATTTAGAAGTTGAATTAAGTTATGACCTGTAAATAATTTTCCGCCAAAATGACAAGAGATCTTAAATATAAGATCTAATTTATAGTGCAAATTATACTAAAAATTAAATCTTATATTTAGGTCTGGAAGTAATAGTAATTAGGAGTGCAATTTGTCATTTATGAGCTTTCTATTACTACTTTAGCAAAGAAATACACATCAAAGATCTAAGAAAATTGTTATTAATCGTCAAAAGTAATTTCAAATTCTGAAAAATTTAATACAAAAGTTTTAAACTTCTGTAACCCCTTTTCCATTGTAGTTTATTCTCTTTGCTCCACATCACTAGCAAACACATTTTGCTGTATCAGAAGTTAATTTGCTCAGTTTTTCTTCATAATAATATATTTAATCATTGATCACCCAGAAGTAATAAGATCAAGCTTTCCATGTAAATGATCCTCGCCTGAAGTCTCTGGTCCAAAACAAAGAAGAAGAAATCTCACTTCAGGTCCAAATCATTGTTTGGGCTTCGTCGAAACCGAATTTCTGGGCCCAAATCATTTATCAGTTTGCATGGGCGAGATGTATTGCCTTGAAGGAGAACTTCCAATCTCGATTGATTCTGTTATCTTGTTCAATCCTTCTAGCAGAATGGTGTCCAGTGCTTCGCTTGCTCACAGTGCATTTCTGAGGTTTTCAACTTCCCTTCATGGGGAAGTATCATCATCCTCATCAAGCTGTATGGGAACTTCTCTCAACTTCTCACGCTCTTCTTTCTCTGGTTCGTTCACTTTTTCAACTCCAAGTCACATTCTTTTTCAGATTTTTTGCGCAGTGAATTCAATTCAGAGGACTTTGTTTGGATTCTGTTTTTGGGGAGGTTTTGGAATTCTTTCTTTTCTTGTTTCACGTCTTCTGATGGTTCAATAGAGGATATCTATTTGATGGTTTTCTTTGTTCCAGGAAACCAGTCACCTTCTAAAAGGCAGCTTGCGATTTTCTCCAAGAGGCTGTCGGGATTGCAGGAGGCAATGAGAATCAAAAGGTACAATTTCGGCAAAGCCTTACTCTGTCTGTAGCTGATTGAACTTGCGTGTTCACTTTATAATCCAAATGTCTGATGTTGAAGTGTTTATTAAGTTGGTATGTCAGACTTTCGTTCTTAATGCAGTTTTCTCATCTGTTTATGAGATGTAATTCTTTTATGAAATATGCTCCATGGAATTTGACGAAAAGAATTGGGTGGGTGGGTGGCTGGAGGGGGTGAAGTTTTGGGACAATTATAACTGTTTTTTAAAAATTTCTTTGCATACAAAGGGATTGAATGGATTTCTATGATTTATATATAAAAAGCAAGCTCTCAGTCGACATTTCATTTGATGTGACGACTGTGATTTTCGTTTTTTTTTTTTTTGACTTGATAACATTCCACGGCGTGTCTTGCATAGAAATAGAGCATGTGGGAAACCTCACTTTCAACAATCCATTTTCCCCACGCTGTTTTTCATCTTACATGTTTTTGTCACAGCAAATCTAGAAATGTAAGGTGAAAATAAGAAGTTTATTGCATGCTCCTCTTAAAAAAAAAAAAAAAAAAACTTTTGCGATTGTTTGTTTGTTTTCAATATCTGAATAAAGGTATATAAAAGAAAAAACATTCCAGTGATGTTTTTTTGTAGCTTCCAACTCCTTGTATGTTATGTCTAGAGAACGTGAACTCGGTGTTACAAAGCCTAGAAGAAGGCCTCCACTAAGGCGTGGAAAATTATCACCACGTTTGTCTGTCCCTGATCACATTCCAAGGCCTCCTTATGTAGGTTCGGATATACTGCCTGAAATCTCCAGTGAGTATCAAATTCATGATTCTGAAGGCATTGCTTGCATGAGGGCTGCATGTGAGCTTGCCGCTCGTGTCCTAAACCATGCAGGAACTCTCGTTAGGGTAGGATTTTATCATTCAAACATTTGTTATAAATCATGCATTTATCTGAGATTCAATTTCTCCTTCATGTCAGAGTTCATTTCATTACTGCTCCAATTATTTCTGTATATTATAGGATTAGGACTTATGGACAGCTACACAATCTGTGATGTGATATTATGTGCCTGTGTGCATATTAATGGTTATATTTCACATATTGGCGTACCCTTCCATCATCATAATTACCATGATGTCTTGACAGCATGTACTTCAAAAAAATTTTCAGCTTCTTATAAAAGAACTTGATATTACATGCCTCCAGATATCTTGGCGTAGCCTCCACTTGACTTTGGGTTTTTTGGGGAAGTGTGAAAGATTTTTCTCTTCCCAGCCATAGAATAGTCTGATGGCCTTTATTGGACTGTAAATTATGTCAGTTATTTTGATCCGTTAAGATAAGCATTTAGCTGCCGTGCATGGGTGAGAACTTACAACCGAGAACATTAGGAAGTTTATTTCCATCACGCTGATTGAGTGTCCCTTTTTAAGGACAAATTGGCATCTTCTCTCTCTCCCCCGGTCCCTCCCCCCCCCCCCCCTTTTCATGATGCTATTCTATCCTTCCTTATCAACTACTTCACAATTCACAGTACGCTCATCTTTGTGTCTGACATCTATTTGGTTTATATTGTCAGCCTTCTGTGACCACAGATGAAATTGATAAAGCAGTCCATCAGATGATAATAGATGCCGGTGCTTATCCCTCACCTCTTGGCTATGGTGGATTTCCAAAAAGTGTGTGTACGTCAGTTAATGAGTGCATGTGCCATGGAATTCCTGATTCTCGGCAGCTACAGGTTTTGAAGGACTGAATTATCGTATGGTTTATCCTCATTATGCAAATAACTCATGGCTGATGAGTGATAGCAATGATCTCTTTTGCAGAATGGTGACATTATTAACATAGATGTGACAGTCTACCTGAATGTATGCTCCTCTATTCTTAATGATAAATATATTTTGGTTTACTTGAACACTGCTTTTATCCCTATCTGAAATTTCTTCAATCAATTGCAACGCAAAACTGGGTTTTGCTATCTACTTTATTTCCTGGATATCTAATAGATTCCTTTGCTTGTTTGTCAACTTACTTCATCCCTGTAAGTTGGGGGAGTGCTTTATTCATTTTGTTAAGTTTCAAAAATGTAAATCTTCTCCGATGTCTTTTTTTTTTTTCACTGGCTTTGACGCTTGAGATTTCATTTTATCTGGTGCCAGAAGTTGATTAACCACTTTGTGGTTAATTAGTGAATCAATTCCCAATGCAATTAATATAATCAGTATTTGAACATGAGTTTAGGTAGATATAATTTGAACCGATGTTTAAGCTTTCCTTTCCTATGAGTTTTCCTATTAATAAAGAAAAATTGAAAGGAAACCAAAGTGTACAAGTATAATGATCTGTGCATATCTGAGAAATATCCATATAGTTTCTGTTATATCTTCTGTAAAACTAGCTGGATTATGCATGTGTGCTTGGAACATATTTCATCTCAGAGAATCAAATCATACCAGCTACTTATGCGTGTTTAATTTCCTGGTTTCTAAATGGGACTGTCGGCCTTTATTTATGGTTCTCTTTATTTTATCTCCTTTGTTCAAAGTTCAAACACGTTAGCCATGGTTTATTTGTGCCAGTTATTGTATTGTTTATTATCATGCAAGCTATACATATTCTCTTCTTTTCTCCATATGATGCTTTCAAAGATTGAATAATGTTAAAAGTTGCATCATACTGCTGACTATCATGATGTGTTACCTAGAGGGTCATTAATTATGATTCATTTGGTTGCTATAGTTGACGCCAAGTAATCCATCTTTCCCCATTTTATATGCTGTCATAGGGATATCATGGAGACACATCAAAGACATTTTTTTGTGGGGAAGTCAGTGAAGCAATGAAAAGCCTTGTTAAGGTGAGTGATTGGTTGCTGATATTTACGGAGAAAAATAAATTTTGCCAGTATAACCTATTGTATATTGAAAGCATATTACTTTCTTCATGTATTTTTTTTTGTTATCTTACATGTTGATTCCCCAGTTAATAATGCCTCGTATGGAAACATTTAGTATATGAATTGGTCGTATCATTTGATCTGATGGTTGCAGGTAACTGAAGAGTGCCTGGAGATGGGAATAGCTGTTTGCAAGGATGGTGCAAGTTTTAATCAAATTGGAAAGAGAATCAGGTACAGTTTGTCAAAATCTTATGCGGAAATGATAGAATCGGGGTTTATAAAGAGAAATTCTGTTCAAAATAATGGTGCCGGCATCTGAAAACACTAATAACTTCAATTGACCAAAGAGAAGATCCAAATACATTTTCACTAGAATTCCACAAGACATTCTCTAACTGGATTCCTTATCCTTTTTAATTTTATGACTAAAATTTGGAATAAATAAAATACACAACATAAACTGACACGATAACTGATCCTAGACTTGAGCGTAGTGGCATACATGCATCCTACAATCTGTTTTGACTTGTTCAGCATCCTCTCCACCATCTTCCATCATTGTGTTGATCATGTGATGGTACAGACTCTAGCTTGGTAGGGTACATGCATCCTACAAACTGCTATCATGGGCAGTTACTGAACCTCTTTCGGTTTGACTTTTTCTGCATCCTCTCCACTATCTTCCATCGCTGAATTCATCACATGACGTACCTTATTAGAAAATAAGCCTAAAAGTTTGTAGAAGCATAGATGTTATATTTTGATCCAGCATGCACTTGAAATTTTGCTTTTTCCTTTGAAGCTTCGCTAAATATAACTGAAGGATTATATCAAAAAGAAAATAGCATGGGACAAAAGGGGAAACTAGATTTTTTTCCTATAAACTGAGATCTTTTTTCGAAATTGGCACATGAACTACAAAACACCATGCAACATAACACTTGCTAATATTTAAGTTTAAAATGTAAAATAAAAACCTCATGGAATATCAAACACCAAACACAACATCAAGGGAGTTATTTGTGATTCAAGATCATGTGACAAAAAAACTAGAAATGATAAATTTATGGCATAAGGACACAGTTAATTGCACAGAGTAGAAGACTGTGTCTATTTAATTCTCTTTTCTAGCCATCTATATTGATTTCGTACGATTGAGAGTATGATCAAGGACATGAAAGCAATTTGACTGGAAAACGTGAAGATTTTATTAGCTAGCTAAGATATGCTTAAAAGAATAATAGATACCTAAACAGACACTCATATGGTTCTCTATACATATATGTTTAAAGTCGCTATTGGGGCTGAAAATATCCAGATAATATGAAAACTATCCACGAAATTGCCCAAGAAAATTATGGATTTACTGAGCGTTTTAGTTTTACACTTCTAAATTTAAATGTTTTAGTGAAACTTAAACGAATTTTGCTATAAAGACGGTTTTAATATAAATAAAAGCCATTTTATTGAAGTGGAAGCATTGATGTGTATTTTGAATGAAGATTTCGAAAATAATGTATATGATATCAGGAGTTTGTACATTTATTTATAGAGTCGCAGTCTTTGACATCCTTTCTATGTAACTCTATAGATTTTAATTTTTTCCCCCTTGTGAGATGTTATTACAGCGAACATGCTGAAAAGTATGGCTTTGGTGTAGTGGAACGTTTTGTTGGGCATGGTGTGGGAGCAGTGTTTCATTCGGAGCCAATAATCCTACATCACCGTAAGTGATCTTTTAAATTTGACATTTTCCTCATTGCATTTACTGTATCAGAAGCTAATGTTGGCTCCATCATTTATATATTCGGGGAACCTAGTTGCATGTTAGTGCTAAATTTTCAACTTCAGGCGGGAAAATTTTCCTGTTTTTATACAGAGTGCCAGGTCATTCACTTCAAAAAATTTTTGTTGATTATTACAAATGAGACTAGTAAAACGGTGCTTGTGCTTACTGATTCTTATCCTCTTTTCAAGTCGGTGCTAGAATCTCATGAAAACCCAAAAAAAAAAAAAAAAAAAACCCAAAATAGCCCTGTATATTGCTTCCCTTTGAGGTGTGATGACCGGTTATATATTATAGAGTCTTGTTTAATGCTTGACAGGTAATGACAATCCTGGTGTCATGGTAGAAGGTCAAACATTTACAATCGGTAAAGTTTATACAGACTGCTTCTCTCTATTGGTCAAGCTGGGTGTCAAGTCTTTGAATTTTACTTTTTTACCCTTAAAGTTCAACATCAAATGCAGAACCCATTCTTACAATGGGAAGCACCGAGTGCATTTCATGGCCAGACAACTGGACAGCCGTAACAAAAGACGGAAGTCCCGCTGCACAGTTTGAGCATACCATTTTGATAACTCGCACCGGAGCTGAAATTTTGACAACATGTTGATCAGGTAACTTCTACTTTTTTCGCACAAAGATCAGGTCACTTCTAAAGTCTTAAAATTATGCATCTTTGCAAGTTGTAAAATTTGTGTGTTCTTCACTCTACCACTGGAGAAATTTACATGAAATTTATGCACATGCAGGTGAAATGCCCCTTGAGAACCTCAAGGTCACTATCCCTACAGAATCCCAATGTTGAGGGCACTCACAGTGGAGATGTGACATGGAGATAGAGAGATTCAATGGTAAGCCTTTTATAAAATTTTTTTACGTATACTCTTCACACGTAAAGTCAGTGCAAAGAATTAATAAAAACTCATTACAATAGATTTATCAGTGGATTCTGTCTCTCAGAAGTCCGCATTTATGAGTAATTGACTTTTTTTTGTTTTGGCTATAGAGTTATTTGACTTTCTGTGCCCATCTTAGGTGCAAGGACAACTGTAGAGTTTCTGCTACACACCAAGTCAAAGCTATTAGCATAAAGCATTAAAGCTTTCAGTTGGACCTGCCTCAAAAAAATTGTGGAATTGTAAAACAATGCAGGCATGAACTATGTATAGGGATTGTCTAATTTCGTATTTGGAGGTCCTTGGAAGTCTTCTTAAGATGAGAATTTTAAAAGATTTCTGGATATAGGCCACAGGAACAGTAGACGAAGCTGAGCAGGATGTGCTTTTTCCAGTAACGTTAATCTCAGTTCGTTGACGAAAATGAATTTTCGAACCAGTGCACAACTCAATCATAATTATAGCATATTGTTGACGAATGTTAATCCCTGGACCCTCTCAAAAGAAAATGTACATGGATGCATGGAGTAGATATAGATAGGTTTTCTGAAATCTTCCCTTTTCCTACTTAAGGGTGTGTTTGGATGAAACTAAACCGTGGTTTGAAAAAGTGATTCTGGAGAATAGATTTTGTGAAGAATGATTTTGTAAAAAAGTGATTATGAGAAGTGAGAGTGTTTGGATAGTTGTTATCAGAAGCATTTTTTATATATACAAATTACTAAAAAAAATACATAAGTTAATATGATAATTATAAAAAAAATAGATTTTATGATATATTTTAATTTGAAGGAATAAAATTGTTAATAATATATTTTTTATCAACATAATTAATAATACATAAGATAATATAATTAATAAATAATTAATATGTATATATATTTATAAAATATAAGATTAAATATGTTTATAAAAAAAATAACAAGATACATATTCTATAGGCTCTCACACTCTCCCTTTTTTCTCCAAAAGCAAAAAATTTTTGCTTTTTCCAAAACCATGGTTTTGGTTTTTGGGTGGTGTTTGGGTGATTTATTCCCCAAAACTATGGTTTGGGGTGTCACCCAAACACACCCTAAATCTGTTGTTGAAATTGTTGCAAGTTCAATTCTGACTCAAGTTATTCATCATCACTTTCCTAAGAAAAGGTCTAAATTGCTAATTTTCTTACTTGGAATATCAGCTGCTAAGGTCAATCGCTTGATTATTTGATCTAAATTTGTTATGAATTATTATTTACTTTTAATTTTTAAAATAATTGGACTGTCTATATTGACTGGACAATTAACATTTACTTGAAACAGCCCATTCTTTTATCTCAGATTGAGACTATTCAAATTAAAGAAAGCAGGTCAGGTCAAAATAAATAAATAAAGTAGGGATTACTTGGAAATAAGATAAAATTATATTTAAAGTTGCATGTGTTATGAAGTTGTTGACGGTTAGGAATAAAATGTCTCAACTTGTAGAATCTGTCTTATTATAAAGTAAAAAAATTTCGACTTGGCAACTAATGGCTTCTAGCCAGTAAATTCTCGTGAAGTCTATATACATACGTATATATTATTGATACAGATTAGCAGCCACTAGAACCAAGATTCCTCTGCCAAATCGACTTTTTAATGATAGTTTTATCTGTAATTGTCGATTAAATGCTGCCACGTCCCTATATATTTAGGGTGAAAATGACCTACTGAGATGGAAAATTCAAGACAGAAAACATGAAGGAACCAGATCCTCTCAGAAGCAATTTTCTCAGCGTCCCCCAGAATCCTAAAATCCTGTCCGTTTAAATGATCGAAAAGCTTACATTGCAACAAGTCATCAAGCTGTCCGGTCCCACGAACTCCAGCAATGCGTCTTCATTCTTCAACCGTCAGTTTCTCGGTTTCTCTCCCCTCTTCTGACCCCCTAACTTTCGGCTTCTCTCTCCTCATTACTTGCTTTTGGGTTCTTGTATTAAAAACAGAACTTTTTTTTTTCGGTGATGGAAAAAAAAAAAACAGGACTTTTGTTGAGGATCAGATTCGCCTAGTGAAAGAGAACCATACACATGCAGTGTTTCTACATATTGGTGATCCCTCAAGTTTCTATGCTGTTCAGTGAGTTAGCGACAAAGACTTGACCCACAGCCCTCCAATTCAGAACGAGGCTTTACTTGCGGTGGCTCTCGAAATGTCGCTAAAGAGAGGATTGGCGAATGCCCTGTGTTGCAGGGAATTAAAGCGGAGGAGGATAAGTAGTGAGAAATAGATGTGAGGTTGAGAAAGAACAGCCATGGAAGGTGTGCGATGAACAAGATGGCTATTTACCAACGGGCGTGTGGGGGTCCGAAGACGGGAAGAGAAAGAGAAGTCCAAGGCTGAAGACGCACTGCTCGTATTTGTGGGACCAAACATACTGAGAAGACATTCAATTTTAAAGCTTGATGACTTGGCACAATATGAACTTTTAGATGATTTAAATGGACTGGATTTTAAGACGCTGAGGGACGCTGAGAAAATTGCTTCTGAGAGGATCCGGATCCAAACATGAAGCTTCCACGCGGGTGTCTTTGTACGATTGGCTCTTGTCCGAAGCCAACCTTTTTATACCATGTACCGTTTATTTTATACGTAACCGAAGACCAACGTGGGATAAATACCGATTTTTCTAATGGTTTCCCATTTATAAATATGAAAGTCTCTCTTGGATCCACCATTCTGCTCTCAGCTACTTCCTCCTCCATCACCATCGTCTATGGCTTCCACTGGTTCTCTGAAAATGGCCTCTTCCCTCAAGAATTTTCAGTCTTTTCCCAACCAAAGCTTGAAATTTTCAACAACCCATCAAGTTTCTCCATCCTTCAAAGTTTCCCACAACTCCAGAATCTCAGCTTTCTTCTTTAACAAGCCCAATCAGCCGCAACAAGATCCTCCAAAGCCAAGTAAGTATTCTCTCACCCCCTTTTTCCCCTTCCTATTTTCTCTTTAATTTCCAATTGTTTGATCCTTTTCCTATATCCGCGCTTTCTTAGAGGATCAAATCTACACGAAAAAAGTTTCTTCTATTCCTTCCTGACTCACTGATGAGCTGCATAATTCATACGGTGCAGGCAAAGTTCAAGAACTGAGTGTGTATGAGATCAACGAACGTGACAGAGGCAGCCCAGCATACCTGAGGCTAAGTGGAAAGCAAGAGAACTCACTGGGGGACTTAGTTCCATTCAGCAACAAGCTCTACTCTGGGGACTTGCAGAAGAGGATAGGCATAACATCAGGTCTATGTGTGCTCATACAACACGTTCCTGAGAAGAAAGGAGACAGATATGAGGCTATTTACAGCTTCTATTTTGGGGACTATGGCCATATCTCAGTTCAAGGAGCTTATCTGACATACCAAGACACAGTTCTGGCAATCACAGGAGGGTCTGGTCTATTTGAAGGAGTACAGGGACACGTGAAACTTCATCAGATTGTGTTCCCTTTTAAGCTTTTCTACACTTTCTCTTTGAAGGGTATTGCAGATTTGCCTGATGAACTCACAGTGAAGGCTGTGACTCCTTCGCCCAGTGTTGAGCCTTCTCCTGCCGCTAAAGCCGCTCAACCTCAGGCTGCTATTCCTAACTTTACCACCTGATCTTATGTTACTTTCAACTATTTCTGTTTCCTCAATGGATTATTGTCATTGTCCTTATTATTTCCTTTAAGCCTTGATCCTGAGATACAATGATGTTTGATTGTCAATCATTCTAATATCATAATGTACTTTTTAATCTCCGTCTCATGATGCAATTGTATTGTTTATTTTTGTATGTGCCATTTGAGCTTGGAGGTATGTCTTGGTTTTGGTGAAACTTAAGAATTTAACTCAGCTAAATTTTTTTCTAATCAAAATAGAAAGATTTTATGGTTGAATGCAAAATGAACTAGTTGCAATATGTGCCTTTGACGATGTGTTTGAAACTCTATTAGTTTCAGTCAAAATGTGATTTTGATCAAAATAATGTGGGAATAGTTTTATCTCAAAAGCCTATTCTCAATCAGTTTCTAAACATACAAACAAATATTCTCTCGCAAGCTATTCTGATCCCCCCACTCCAGCTATGCATTGTGTGTGTGTGTGTGTGTGTGTAATACCTCCAACTAATCATACAACCAATTGAAGATATTATTGGTGTCTCTTGAGATTTGAGAATCAACGTGATCTCTGTTTTCTTTGGGTTGATTCTGAATGAAATCCCTGAACCCTTTTTTTTTTAATAATTTTTTTTAATTTGACGCATTAGGCAACTTATTGTCCGCATCACATGGGAAGACAGCATCGGTGTGCCAAATAGTAGATAATTTATTAAAATTAATCAAATCGGAATCGATTTATGGACTTCGTGGATTTAAATGAATTTTATGAGAATCATTATGAGATTTAAAGAGGAAAAAATGTAATCACAACAAGTATAAATGATTGTGATTGCATACTGCTCAGTTTGTTATGAGATTTTTTTAGTAATTACATTTATTTCTCTGAATCTTATAGTAATTCTTCTAATTTTGTTATATTTTAGCTATAATTTCATTGTACTTCCTTTATTCGAGCGATAATTTTTTATTGGGGATTATGCATAAATAAAATTAATTTCTTAAATTATTATTATTATTTTTGGACAGAATTCTCTTAAATTATTAAATAGCCAGAAAACTATAAAACGTATAAACTTGATAAGAAGCAGTTAGAAAAATAAAGAAGCACTAAAATGTAAAAAAAAAAAAAAAGCAGTTAGAAGTAATACTTTAAAGAAACTAACACATATTTTTTTATAAGTAGTTATTCTAACAAATTTTTTTAGTCTCTATAAATTAATTATCTAACTCTCACAAAGAAGTGAAAATTTATTGTGTTTTGGTCCTTTTAATCTCTGACCTTCTTTACCTTGTAATGAGAAATTGCAACTCAGGTTTTCTGTTAAACTCACCAACAACATAGTAAAATTTTCTTGTATGTTGATTTACGTTAATTTTCTTGTAGTGTAATACTCCTCCGGTCCTTAATATAAGACCCATTTAACTAATTTGATTAAATTAAGGAAGTTAGGTAAGTTAGTTAATTATAAGAAATGTGACACGTTTTTCCTAAAACACCATAATCATCTTTCTAATACCCTCTCTCCCCTTCTACTTGATTATGGTTGAGGGAGTATTCATAGGGGTAATTTAGAGAACATTGACAATATGAGAAATGGGTCTTATATTTAGGACCAAAACCAACTCAATAATTGGGTCCATATTAAGGACTGGAGGAGTCAAAGCAGATCTTTATTTAAGACATAAATGAATACTTTTGTCACATCTATATTTCTGTACATATTTTATTCTTTTAGATAGAATCAGTACATTTATTTTTAAAAAAACAGTGGGTATGAGAGCGGACTTGTGTCAGGCTTAATTCCCTCTTTTTGGATTTTCGGTCAGGATCCATTAACCTCACTGTGGGCTATTATGGGCTTCATTAAGGGGTTCTGGGCTTTTCGTCTTAAGAGATCCAAAATAACCATTAAAGGAATGTGGGCCAGGTGT